TTAACTGCAGACATGTGGTCTTGCAAATCATCAACAACTGTGGGACTAGGATAAGAGAAAAAGTACTTCCTACACTGGGCAACAAGACATGAGTGAGATTGGAGTAAGACCCGGGTGAGAGTGAGACTCTGGTGGTGGAGAGAATGTGGCATTACTGTGTGAAAACTGTAACAAGGTTTAAGAAGAAGATCACTGAGATAAAGGCCACAGCTAAAGGCTTTTGCTGTTCTTGCTGGATGCTTGAAGGAAAAGCTGACAAACTTCTGAGGCACTTCTTAAACCTTGTTGGGCGATTTGGATTTGACTGGTGAACTGAATTGTGCCTTGGAACTTGGACTAAAACCAGACTTGTTTTGGTTGTTATCTTTGCCTCCCCCACTCTCCAACTTACTTCCTTAATAAACCCCATTCTCTGTATCATAACTGTGAGTCAGAAATGAAGAACTGAACCTCTTGCTGTTGGTATGGCTTTAGAGGTACCATACGGGTAGGCTATGGGTTCTTTATCTGCTTTCTGTCCTGGTGCAATGAGGGCTGTGCTATTCATACTCCCTCTGGCCCTTTCAGAGAGATGTTCATGGCCCAGTGATCCCATGTCCCATTTTCTGCTCACTTAGACAAGCACTAAGGGTGGGATGAACAAGAAAGACTGGGGAAAAGGAAATGTTGTTGTTGTTGTTGTTATGTGCCGTCGAGTTGCCTGCGACTCATAGCGACCCTATGTACAACAGCCCTAAATTCTGCTCTGTCCTGTGCCAATCGCACTGTCTCCGACACTCCCATCCCAATTATCCCAGTCACTGAATCAGTCCACCTCATAGAGGGCCTTCGTCTCCTGCGCCGTCCCTCCACCCTCCCAAGCATGATGTCCTTCTCCAAGGACTGGTCTCTCCTCACAACATGTCCAAAGTATGTTAGACGGAGCTTCAGAATCCTTGCCTCCAAGGAGCCACCCGGTTTAACCCTTTCCAGGACAAATCTGTTTGTTATCCTAGCAGTCCATGGTATTCTCGATACTCTTCTCCAGCACCACAGCTCAAAGGCATCAATTCTCCTTCTATCCTCCTTGGTCATTGTCCAACTCTCTGATGCACAACAGGTGATTGCGAAGACCATGGCCTGTATCAGATGCACCTTAGTCTCCAAAGAGACACCATTGCTCTTCAGCACTTTGGAGAGGTCCCTAACAGCAGACTTTCCTATTGCAATGCGCCTTTTAATTTCCTGGCTGCTGGTGCCATAGTTAAAATAAAACTAATGAGGAAGCAATTAATGCCATGATGCTAAGGTAGTAGTGAATTTTCCCCATTTTCTTATTAAAACATTGAAAAATATCAACACGAGACAATCTTTTAAGGGAGTAGTAATGCAACATCTTACAATCAAACCCTAAAATTCAAGATGGCAAGGAACAAGTTCTTTTAGTACACCCCACAGTTTCTGCTCAGGATATCTGATGTGTGGAACACTCGAAATATTTGTATAATGATGGACAGCTAGTCTAAAGAAACAAGTGGTGAACTCAGAACATCCTGGCTATTTCTAAGACTTAAAAAAAATCATTAAGGCAATGAGAAGGCATGCACTTTGTTAACATGTGTAGTTTGTTGAACCAGGCCATCTGCTTTCTACCATAATAGCCTAAGCATGTCTTCAGTTAAGCTCTCTATAATCAATGTTAAGTGTGCCAAATGTTTCTCAGACTTCCATTTGTGTACAAAAATTTAAACAATAGTTCTGACCTAAAATTAATATCTTCAAGTGTACCATTAAAAAATGAGGTTTCACATGTTTCTTTTACCACACATCTGCTATTAATGATAAGTGAAACTTCAGGGTAGCAGAAACAGAAAAAGACGACTGTGGGAATTTTTTTTAAAGGCCCAGATGCCCAAGGCAAAATCCTTCATAGTGCACATATTACAGAAAAGCACCATTCCAAATTTGCCCATTCTTCCAAAAATGGTGCATATCAAGCTTATGTGGGAGCTTGCCCACAAAAACAAGATGTAAGAATTAATTAGGATGAATCTCAGCTCTCGCAAACTTATCTATATGCAACAGGATCTTACAAGGCCCAGCAAGAATCTCAAGATAAGAAAAAAAAGAATCCCAAGATAGGGAAGAGATATAGAAAAGTGCATTTTTTTCTAAGTTTTCCCCTAACATTTATTCTGAGAGCTCTTCATTTTGTACTTGCAAGGGATTTTCACCCACTTACTACCTTTCACAGTTTTTTGTTTTGTTTTGAAAAAAGGAAAAAATGAAGTACTATGCTGTATGAAGGAGCTGTGGTGGCCTTGTGGTAAGGAGCTGTGCTGCCAACCTGAAGGCACATGGTTCAAACCCACCAGTTGCTCCTCAGGAGACGATGCAGTCTCTAACTGTGTAATTTATTGGCCCTGATAACCTGCTGGAAGATTAGCTGTGGGGCAGTTCCCATTCTAAAGTACCTAACAATAACAACAACAATCTCCTGCTTGGAAAGGTTTTCCTCAAAAGCACCACAAATTTGGAACCTTCTGAATAAAAACATAATTTAACATGAAATATTTCTTTCTTACTACACAAGAGTGGCATACAATTGAACTAATGAGATAATAAAATATTTTCTCAATATCTTGGAATCTCCTCTTCAGCTCAGGAATCTGAGCACTGTCGTTATTTTAATGAAGGGCTCTAAATGGTCCTTTTATACATAATCCTCATCTGAAGTTTTCTTTGATGGAATTTCTTTACTTTTCCATCAAGAGCTTTGAAAGTCTGCTTCTTGGGCCTTGTTAAGTAGGCTGTATTTTATTTCCAAAGTTCAAATTTCAGATTCCCTAAGCTGTTTTTGTTACTTGACGCTCTGCAGCTCAAAAGTCTTTCAAGTGGACAGAAGACATATTCACATGACAACATGATTCCCTCCGCTAGGTGAAACACTTGAACAAAGTAGGTTCTCCAGGCATTGAAATCTCATGATAATGAATTTATTAAAGTGACTATTCTTAAAACTATTTGGTATATTAATGATACACTGTTAAAAAGATAAAAACAAGACAATCAATCAAAAACAAATAAATTTACTCTAATACGGAATAACAAAAGAATTTGCCTCATAACAAAGATGAGAAGACAAGAAGGGAAAGGTACCCAGGGATAAAAAGGGTAGAATGTTGGGGAGCTCTGGTGACCCAGTGGCAAGAGGCTGCACTGCAATCCCAGGTGCACGTTTCAAATCCACCAGATGCTCTGCCGGGAAAGGAGGGACAATATCTTCCTTTACCAGTCAGATCCGATTTGACGGTACACACACACACACACACACACACACACATATATTTTTTTTTTAAAAAAAGGGTAGAATGTTAAAAAACGGCACAGACTACAGCCAATGTCATAGATTAATTTGTGCACAAATTAATGATTGGAAAACTAATCTGCTAGATAAACTTTCACCCAAAACACAAGAAAATGCTTTGTTTGGTTATAAAAAGGCAAGTATGAAAATGCAAGGAGGGGAAGGGATGCTAGATAAATGGAAACAGAACAAAGAGAATGAAAATAACAAGAATACTGACACCATGAAAAATTGTAACCAATGGAACAACAATGTCTAATATTGTTAAAGCTCAGCCCAATTTGTGGTGTATACTTTCACCTAACACACCAATTAAAAGTAAAATTTTTTTTAAAAAGTCAAGTTTATCAAAAAGAAAAAAAAAGAAGTCATTCAGTATCAGAAAGATGGTTATATACATTTGTTTGGTCTCCTAGGGGAAGATTATATGGCCATGAATTTTACTGCTCATTTAGTAAATGTTAACTGAGCCCCTACTAAGTGCCAGGCATGGGAGAAAGAACTCTAAGCTGAATATGCACCATTCCTACCCTTGGAAAGCTCATCATCTGAAAGAAAATAGGCATTAAATCAATCATTTCTTATCAAATTTATTCCATTTGGAGAGTAGGTCAGTTACTATATTGTTAGAATGATATCTGAGGTGGGCCCTGAACAATGAACAGGAAGGAGTCCAACAAGTGAAAAGCTGGGCCCTCGGAGGTAGGGTGGGAGCGGAGCATTCCAGGCAGAAAGACTAGGACCCATAGGCTCTAGTGGGAGACAGCACTTGGCCAGCTCAAGTCCAATACAGATAGTCCAGAGCATGAAGGCCAATGACAAGGGATGAGGTGGAGTTACAATTATGGAATCTTTTCTACATGCTGCGGTGTACCAAGGAGATTTTAATGCAGAGGAAATGGGAGCTAAGATTTCTATTTTATGACCATAACTCTTACACTAAGTTAAAAGATATAAGAGGGGATATACCAGTAAGATGGCCACTGGTACATCCAGACATGGGGTGATGGAGCCCTGGACTATAGTGGTAACAATGGAGATGGAGACAAGTGAACAGATGAAAATGCATCAAATAGGATCAGAAAGTAGCGACTGACAGAGAAAGAGATGGAACAGTATGAAAAACTGGCGTGAGACAATGCTCAATTTAAGCGGGACCTCAAATACTATATGATTCAACTAAATTTTAAAACACATATTGATTTGAGAAGAGTGAAACTGGCAAGTCTTTACAAGTAATGTCTGTCTTTTAAATACACTCTTACATGACGTTTATAATTCTAAAATTACTCCTCAAAGAAAACTAAGTTTGATCCCACTAACATTATAGAACCACTAAAAACTGTGACCATAACTTATCCTATGGAAAAAATAATGACACAATATGATAAATTTTAAAATAAAAACTGTAAAACTACGGATGGTATGATCAAGTTACATTTCTTAAAAGCTCAGTATTTAAGAGACTCTAAATAATACTTTCTCTTTGCTACTGATGAAACATAAAACAATGTAATTCGTTATTACAAAAATGCACTGAGAAAGGAAGTAGGCAAATCAACTTTTAAAAATACAATCACAATTACAATAGATGCCAAATCATATCACTATAAGTACATTTCTGGCAAAATGTCTCAGTAGAAATCACACTTACCTTTCTTTAATGAATGCAAGGCTGATGTGAAGAAGGTCAAATAACCAGGGGGCTGGGGTGAGCCACTGAATTCAAAGTACCCGAGGACTCCAGGCTGCAGAGCAAGAGCAGAATGAGGTGATTTATTTAATAACCCACAGCAACTGTGTTATCAAAATATTTTTAAGAAAGAAAGACAAAGCTGTACAGTCTGGTATTTTGTTGCAGTTTATTTTTTTAAAAAAGCCTAATGACATGAAAAAGGCTGCACAGTGGACAACAGGGGAAGGGATGGAGTTGAGCAGCATTAGTAAGATGGCACAGTGGTCACACAGGGGCAAGTCAGAGCTGATTCCTCTCTCTCCCGCTACATAGGTTCTTTCCACAATTCTAATCCTCTGATTGGAAACTTTACCACCAATTTCAAGTCAAGCAATGTCAGTAACTTCTTTGTAACATTCTTTTCATTTCTCCAACTGTTTCCTTTCACTCATTCCAAATGTACCACCACACTTAGTCAGCATCAGATTAAATCTGACTGGCTTGGTTTCTTTTCTTTCCCAAACTCAACAATCCACAGTGGCTATCTTCTCACTCAGCAATACCAGTGAGCACTGGGTCTCATCTCTTACGCCTCCACTTTCACAAGCTTATTTCCACTTTTATTTGTTGATTGCCATCGAGTGGAGCATGACTCTGAGTGACCCTATGAACAAAAGACCTGAACCTTGTTCTATAACTCCCGTCATTTCTCTAAGTTCATAGTTTCCAGAGGCATATTGTTTAGGAAGTGAATGCTGTTCCTGCTCCATTTCCTTTCACTTAGATTGGCACACTCTCCTCCTTTCTGTCAAACTAACTACATGTCCCTTATGAAAATTATTCTTTTCTTTACAGATTCTGCAGCATTTATTTTGCCCAGCTTTGTTCTGTAATCATTTTATCTCAAAAAAACAATCTGTGAGATCACAGAGAAAAGAATGTGTCAGAAGACCTAACAAAGATTGCTAGCTGAATGACCTTGGAAGAATTCTTCAGTGTAAAGTGTCTGTGTCCTTACCTGTCAGAAAGGACAACTCCTCGTGGAATTACTGTGAAGAGAAGCCTGCTAAACTGTTTAGTACTCATTGCTGTTGTAGTGTACCAAGTCAGAACCCTCCCATAACTGACCCTCTTGGTGAGTTGTCAGAGGTAGTAAATCACAAAGGAGGAGACTATCTCTTCTCCCAAGGAGTATCTGGTAAATTCGAATAGGGCACCTTTGGGATTGCAGGGCAGTTTCTTATTACCAAGTTACCAGGGCTCTCTGCATGAAGCAAACATAAACAATCCTTTCAGCTCCAATGTTCTTAATCAATAATTGTGGGGCTTATTTGATCAATAACAAATCAAACTGAAATCTGCTGATAAAGTTTAAAATCAGTTTTGTTGTATAAAAGATGAAAATTCTAGTCTGTGGTAGAACATACTATGTTCAAATCCAAAGCATTTACTCATTCTCATAAGACTCAACTTTAAAAGAATCAATTGTCTGGTGGGGAACTGGAAAGACAGGGTAATGGTGGGCATAGCTCAATGGTGATTCATTTTATGAAGCATAATGAATGGAAATGATTGTATGAAACACAATGTGAATGAAGGGTACTGTGAAACATATTGCATACAAACACTTCGTAAGCAAACCAATAT